AATCATACTTATCAATATCTATCAGTAGTTCTGCTTCTTATAGCTATTATAATATCTTTCATACATGTTCTTGATATTCTTTTCTGAATTCATTAGTGAAGATGAGAATGTTATCTAGATAAGTAGATACAAACTTATCAAGAAAATCTCAGAGTGCTCAGTTGATATACTTCTGAAATGTACTGAGAGTATTAGTCAGTTCAAAGAGTGTGACTATTTATTCAAAGAGATTATAATATGTTTAGAATACTGTAAGTCATTTATCTTCTTCAGTGATATAAATCTTATGAAACACAGTGATAATATCTAGTTTTATAAACTATTGAGCTTATCTGATCTGTGCTAGAATTTCATTAATGAGAGATAAGAGATATTGATCTTTCTTTGTCAATCTGTTCAGATCTTGATAGTTCATACAGAATCAGAGTTCTTTATCTGATTTCTTTACAAAGAGAATAGAGACTGTGATGAAAGAGTTACTAATATATATAAATTCTTTATTCAATAGATCATTGAGTGTCTTTCAAAGAAGAAGAAGTTCATCTCAGAACATATTATAAAGAGAGTCTTATAATAATTCAGAGTTCTTATCATTCTTTTTTTCTAACTTGATACTACGATTCACTTCAGAATCTTGTAAGAGAGATATATTTATAATATTATCTTATCAGAAGATATTTAGATATTCATCATATTATTGAGAGAGTTTCATACAAGAATCTGTTATTATAATACAGAATAACTTTTCTAGAGTCTTTTTAATATCAGTCAGACTGATAGAATAAATTGACATATAATTCTGTTATCAGTGAACTTGTCAGTGACTCTGTCAGTGATTTTAATAATGACTTCTTTTTCAGAGTATTTCATACACATTGACAGAGATCTGTGTCAGATTCATAATCTTATGAATATCATCTTCATGAACTCTATTATTGTTAGAAAATATCAAGCTTCTGTTTTAAGTATTCAATAAAATATCTTGTTCAGATAGTCAGACAAGTTCTAATATAAGATTATAATCAAGATTATTCACTTCATATATGTAGATATCTTTATATTGATGTTCTCTCACATCTATGATCAGTTTTATTATATAACAGATATAAACATCTTTCAGATTATCAAATTCTGTGAGAAGTCAGAGTTTTAATAAAGAAATACACTGAAGATTATAATATCTTATAACTGAAGATTTTATCATTATATAGTGACATAGATCACTGTCTATCATGACTTTCATATTATACATATTATCAATCACAGTAGATATAAGAATTATATTTATTATCATCTTCTCTTCAAATCATTGTTATCTGATCTCTTCAAGCTTCTGTTTGTAAATTTAAACAGAAGCTAATCTTTTCTCTGTTTTATCAGAGTATTCTCATAATTATTCTCTAAATCTTTCTTTAATATAACATGATTGACACAGACAGACACTGATTCATTCTTTAAATAAGAAGATGCTGATCTTTCTCTTGAGTATGAAGATATATAGATTAATTAGCAGTTGAAAGTAATATGTTCTAATCAGTTACAGTTGATGTATACTTCATATTGATATCAATCAGTGACTTCTTCAGAAGTGATCTCAGAGACTCAGAAGCCTGTTTGAATAGTGAAAACTCTTGCTTATATATAGACATTTGAATCTATTCAGTTCATAATCTCTGCATCATTGTTCTTTAGTGCAGATGTATAAGTGACTGAGATATAATGTCTTCTGCCACTGTTCTGTATACTCTTGAGCTTGATAAGACAGTCATTCAATGTCTGAAGCTGTGTGCAGAAGTCTTTATAAGTTGAGTCTTTATCTACACTTATAAGAGTCTGTAAGAGTTTGAAAGTCAATGTCTTCTTAAGTATGTTAATCTTCATTCAATTCTCTCAAGATTGATCACCTGCTTCTAGAATCTTGATGTTAAAGTCAGGGATGAATATTGTAAGAGAAGTCTTTCTCTATCAGATACTCTATAATTAATCTAATACTTTTTATTACATAGCAGTGTCTCAGAACAGAATATCAAGATATCTTATAATATTATCAGACATTTATAACACTGGTTTACATGCTTTAATTCATGAATGAAACTTCTGTTTCATATGATTCTTCAATCATTCATTGATATATCAATCTTGATTGATTAATAAATCAATGAAATCTTCATCTATACTTAGTTTCATGAGTATTTTCATTCTTTATAATGAGTAGAGAGTGAGATCAGAAGTATTGAAATATGTAGAAGTATCTAAGCATTCTTTCAGTACTTTTATATTTGATTCTGTAGATGTTGAAATTGCATGAGTTAATTATTGAATCTCTTCATATTGAAGTTATTGAGTTGCATGCATATCAGCTATTTATTATTATTATAATTTCAACATTGCTCAGAGTCACTGTGACATTATATCTATACTTACATTCAAGAGTGTTATATTATTGTTAGACATAATTATATTGATTGTCAGATATATAATATCTGAAGAAGTGTAATTATATTCTTATATATCTGAGTGTCAGAACTCTCAGATCTTTTACTGATATTCTCTTATAAGATCTTTATTACAGAGTCAGAGTGACTGATGAGTAAGCTTCTATCTGAGAACTTAGTGTCTGCTTAACTGTTTAACTGTTTGTCTATTTCTTACACATTTGAATATCTCTTAATGAGTAATCATTTCTGATGAGAAGACAATGCATGAATAATCATTTTCTAATAAGAAGATAATAAACATTTCTATAGTGTAAGAGGTCTACACTGAATAGATCAGTATAATATTGATAGGTCTTATATAACAAAGATAGAAATATTAAAGAAGGAAAGAAAGAGAAAGTGCAAGAATCAGTGATTGAGATGAATATTTATACACATACATGGTGGTGTACACAGTGGAGCTTCGGGGCGGAAGAATATGCGCGTGTTCATAGCAGCCAAGGATTGATGATTGAAAATGGCTGAGAATCAGAGTGTACGCTACGCGTGTTCATAGCGGCCGCGGATCGGTGATCAGAAATGAAAGAATCTATGAAGTGTAATGAAATAGTCTATATAATTGATCGGGCGCAGCCCGCCACATTAATCTTCTTAATAAACTCAGTTTCCTTAGTTGCAGAATTGACAGAGATGTTATTATTAAAAGATTTAATATTTGAAAAAGAATAAAGCTCATCTATTATATTTAGACTTGTATATATATTCAAATATCAAGATCTAGAGAATGGTTTTTCAGTAACTGTGAAAGAGAAACTGAACTCAATCTTTGTAATTACTGCATTTGCTACTGATTAAAAACTTATCAAGTCATTCTTCTTCTCTTTCTTTTTATTATCATACTTCTTATTCATCTTCTTTTTTCTTTTATCAGAGTGTAAGATGAAACATCTGTTAATAGTATATTCATATCTTTTACAGTGAATGCACTTTTATACAGCTGTGTCTTTATTCTCATCTTTATTCTTATTCTTTTTTACAGTTACAGAATCAGTCTAAGACTGCTTTTTTCACTCAGTGATAGTCTTCTTGAATATATAATTAATCAGTTACTTTATTAAATTATTAATATTAATATTAATAATGAGTTCTTGACTAGTGAAGAAAAACTTATTCAGATATATCTTAGTAAATAATCTTTAATAATTAATCTTATAAATTCTTAAGAAAAAGATTATAATATACATCTTCAGTACTTTGACAGAGCTCTTTATAATAGATAATAAAATAGTGAAAATGTCTCTGAAAAATAAGAAAATTATTATTCTTCACTTATAATTTTATTAATTTCTTAAAGATATTAACATGTTCTTCAGTTAGTAATATTATATATTTAATATTAATCTTATTTCATAGAGCTGCAGTATTATCAGCTTCTAAAATTTTAATAGTAATTTGAATATTTTTAATAAGACTTCACAGTATATATCTATTTAGAGACTTAGAACAGATCTTTCACTTCTCAGAATTAATATAATATATAAAAGAGAATTCTTATTAAGTCTTTAATAAAATGTTAATTTTATTAATAACTTCTGCATCAGTTAATATATTAATATATTAGACTTTATAATTAGAGCTGTTAAATATAATCACTGATTTAATATCTAGTGTATATTTAACTTTCTTCTGATATTTCTGCAACTCATCTCTTATAATATCTTATAAGCTTTATACAGAAACAGATATAGTGAGATATTATATAATTTCAGCTATAGTTATTTAATTTCAGAGCATTATCTGTATAAAATTCATAAAATTATCTGTAATATAATAGATAGATTGATTCAGATCATCATTAAAAGTTAGTATTTTAAAAATAAGAAATAATAAAGAATTTATTAAGTTAAAATGAATAGATTCTGTAGATAAATATTAACTTTACTTTTCTTTATTCTGAAACTTCTCTGTTATTTTATTATCAAATTTCATACTCTGATAAAAACTAATCTCAGTTTTATCTTACAACTCAGAAATCTTCTTATAATAAGTAATTATTCTATTAATAAGTTATCTAGTAGAGTGAGTGATTCTGAGTCTTGAGCTGAACTCTGAAGTAACAGATGTATTATTTATATTAAGACAGCTCTACTTCTTCTAGATATATAAAAAAAATAAGTGATATTCTTCATAATAGAAAATATACTTTTTAAAAGTATATAAATCTACTAACTGATAGATTCAGAAAAAATGAAATATCTTTAATAAAAAGTAAGAGTATTTTTAAAAAAGATAAACTATTCTTATTAAAAAAAAATGTTAATATAATATTTTGAAAAGAAAAATGTGCTCTTCAGGCAATAACCTGTAGAATAGTTGAAGGTTGTATTAATAGATCTAGCTATAAGAGCATAATATAGTGATGAGTCATGTGATCTAGTGAGATCGCTAACCGCAACAGCCGTAACGGTCAACACATAATAACTTAAAAGATACTAAATTAATCATCAACTATAAGAGTCAGCTGTAAAAAGACAAATATTATTATACATATCTCATTTCTTTTTATATATCACATATTTTATCTATTTTCAATGCCACATCACTTGAAAAACATTAAAAACAAAGAAAATTTTAAAACTTGAGATCTGTAAGAGATTTAAGAGCTGTAAGCTGCTGTTATAATAACACTGTATACATCTCTGATTCTTCTACTGCTCTATCTTTTGTATGGAATTAGATAAATAGATAGTGTACGGATACTATAAGAAGTAGATCTTGATACACATAAGATTCATATGTTTCTGACATATTCATCATTTCGACAATTTAACATCACGCAAGGACTCATCATGAGCTCCGCTTGCATATGAGTATATGAAATATTAATAATAATAATAATAATAATTGTGTTGTTGAGATATTGTTGAAAATATTTCATCATAGTGATGTCGAACTGGCGGGCGTTGAGAGTAAGCGCGCGCTGGGTGGCCAACTTTTAAAAATCCGTTGTATGAAGGAGGTACACATTGTGCCACACCTGGGGGATGCCATTATTCCTAGCGACATACTAGGCCCTTCCCAGCCATATCAATGTGCAGAAGAGCTTGTCTAACATGGGATCTCATACATTGCTTGGGCAAGTTCTTGGGTCTTGTTGCGGAGAACTGACCAAAGCTGGCAGTGAACATACCCCAAGCTGGTGCATGCTATCGGAGCCATAGATTGGCTTCTATGATCGCACTAGTCAAAAGAATGTTGAAAGTGTCTAGGATGGGATAATGACTTGCATAGAAAGCTATTGCCGTTGTTCAAGCCACGCATCCCATGCTCCGCCTGGGCGAAGAGAGGGGTCAGTGCAGTGTGCTGGCTGACCCCGCAGTAACTGATATAAAGAGTATTCCCACCGCTGAAGTCCTTGGATTTGACCATATTGAGTGAAATCTACTATCTAGTACTCTGTCGCTAGGAAGAAAAACCTACCTGAGCAAGCTTAAATCGATATCTGATACTACATGCAACCTCACCCAGAGCTGAAAGTTACATTGCTCCCTGCTTGACACTACTCAATTGCCGTGGGTCTGTTAGCTACGATCAGTCAGTCTCACTTTCAGATTCAAGTTGTAACTACTGTAAATACGTTAGATACAACAAGTGGCTGACTTACAATAATAATGGCAACCAAACAGCGGTTGGAACCTACCAGCGAAAATGTGCCGGCAAACCTTGTCGCCCAAGAAATTCTCCTGCAATCATTCACTCGAACAGCAGCCAGCGTTGATGCCGGTCAACGGCTGTGGGGGGTGTGGAACCATTACGATCGCCGGTATTATTTCGTTGCCCTCAAGTACAATGCACTATCCTTGCGACGATTGCAAAGCAAGCGGTGCCTGGGTTCGAAACCATTTGGGAGGATGGACAAAAGCATTGGATGTCTGATTGCGACACTTAGAAATGACTATATGTCATGACTATCCTTTCTTTGTTTTAGGCACGCCTTGGTTGTGGTTTTCCTATGAGTTGTCCAGTTGTCTGTCACTCCTCTTCATTGATATTGTTACCAGTTCTAGGAACATGGTAGCTATATAAGTCTTATGCTTAATGTAATTACATTGTCTTTGAAGACAATTGACCGTGAATGTTCAAAGCTAAAATGGATTGAAATACAAGAGTAAATATCCCATCTCTTGCAAATAATTCAAGTAAAGACAAGTAGCCCACTGTCCACCAAGGATTGGCATTCCCTCCGAATATCTGAACAATATTCGAAAGTCAAAGCAAGTGGCCGTGGCTGATCATTTTCAAAGCACAGGGAATTTGCCTCTTCGGACAGATCCTTAAGAAGAGGGAACTCTCCTTTCCAGCTCCTCTCAATGATTGTATCAAAGTGACTGCCAGTTAATGGGGGAAAGATCATATGTTTGAAGAGAGTAACCTTCTCTGCGTCATCGTCGAAGTCGTCCATTTCATAAGGTTCATGTCCTCGGGTTAGGCAGTAAAGAATAGATCCGACGGCAAACTGTTCCGTTCGAGGGCCGCAGGCTCCGAAAGAGCCCTCTTCGCTCCCATATTCAGCACCTAGAACACGTGCCCAGGGGGCAGCAGCACCACCTTCTAACAAGGTTCCAATGAGTTGTACACAGTCAAAGTCTGCCATCTTCAGGTGGTCCTGGTTGTCGAGTAGCAAATTTGGAGGACGGATGTCGCCATGCACGTATCCAAGAGACTCCAACCAAGCAGCTGCTTTGCAGAGCTCCATCAACCATCGTTTGACTAGATGTTGAGGTTCGGTTGAGATTACACGTTCGACCCTTCGCCCATCGGCGGACCGTCTCTGGTGGGTTTCCAGCCGGTGGTGGAGGGAGCCACCGCCCATAGAGGCCAGAAATATGCCGTCCGGAACTCGTAGAAACGACTGGATGATATGAGGACACGGCTCATGTTTCTCAAGGATATCGAAGAATGCCATTTCCCTCTTAAACCCATCGCTGTTTGGGTGAACAGGATATTTCAAAACAATGCGATGGTCGATCCTGTAGACCCAGCCTACAGCACCACCAGACAACAGCTCGTAGCAGGTGAGACGCGGGGGTATTTTGATGATTTTCATGGAGGTTAGGGAAAGTGGATGTGCATCACGAGTGTCTCCCAGAGCTAACAACCGTAGTAGCCAGTTGGCATTGAGACTCTGAAACAACGCAACTGCCATGTCGAATAAGAATGCGATCATAGTTGACTTTTCCTCAGTGATTGAGAGTATATATCTATTGCAGTGAGGTTTATAGAAGACTGATGAAGAGATAGAGAAAGAGATGAGAGTAGGTACTAAATGAGTTACAGATGAAGGCGATGCTAAGAAACTTGAATGTGATGCTAAATTATAACTTGTGATTGATTGTGTCAGCCGTTACGGCCGTTGCGGCTATTGGCTGTGGCGATCTCCGTAGATCACGTGATCAAGTACTATTTTGGAGGATAACTTGTTGAGCATCTGAGTGGGTTGTATTGGTAGCTATCTAGTCGGCGATATATGCTTGGTGCGACTAGACTGACCGTGTGACCGTGTCTGGGACCAGGACCAGATTTTTTGATAGTCTCATTACCAATTCGACTGATCTCATTACACAGTTTTAACATTAGATAGTAGTCTTATACTGTCTCAGTAAGACTTACTGTCTACTCTTATCACATTTTCTAAATAAGATTATAATTTTCACTTCTCAATTTAAATTATTTTTATTGCTTTAAATGACTTTAAATCTCATTTAAGTGTTATTAAAAAGTGTTACTTTTTAAAAAATTAAAAATAGTCTAAAAAAAACCTTAAAATATCTAAAAATAGTAACTTTATATCAAGAATGAAACTAAATGAGATCAAATGAGATCACTTTCTCATTTTTTTCAAGTCATAGTTTCATTTTAAGATCTGATATATAGTCACTTTGCATGTTTTTTTAATAGATAGTCTCAGCAGAATTCATGTCAAGAAATGTATGAGATTAGATCAAATAAAATCAAATGTAAAATTCATAATTTCAGCAGTCAGTTGCACCGTGCGACTAGAAAGTCTAGAGCTTTCATAACTCTTCTTGAACTAGCTACTAAGCTATTTTATTCTTCTCAAATCATTCAAATTCACAATAATAATTAATTATAAAAAGTAGCATCTAGTTTCCTGATCTGATATATGAAATTACTGAAAGTAGAGCTCAAATTCTTCAAATTCTTATTTATCTTATGAATAACTTGATTAATTCTTTATAAGTTTATAGATATTCAGAGAAACTTCTGTGAAGAATTTATAATCTGACTAACTCATGAGAATATTATCTTTATTTATATTCTTCTTATTCTTTGCTATCTTCAATACCTTAATACAATTCTTATTATATTCTCTTCATTTAGTATTTACAAGATTTAAGTTTTTAAACTAGTAGTATTTAAAGATATAATCAGTGTTCTTGCAGTTAGACTGATTATGTGACCGTGTCTGAGATCAGAATCAGATTTTTTGATAGTCTTATTATCAATTCAACTGATCTCATTACACAGTTTTAACATTAGATAGTAGTCTTATACTGTCTTAGTAAGACTTACTGTCTACTCTTATCACATTTTTCAAATGAGATCATGATTTTCACTTCTCAATTTAAATTATTTTTATTGCTTTAAATGACTTTAAATCTCATTTGAGTATTATCAAAAAGTGTTACTTTTTAAAAAATTAAAAATAATCTAAAAAAAACCTTAAAATGTCTAAAAATAGTAACTTTATGCTAAGAATGAGACTAAATGAGACTAAATGAGATCACTTTCTCATTTTTTTCAAGTCATGATTTCATTTTAAGATCTGATATATAGTCACTTTACATGTTTTTTTAATAGTCAGTCTCAGCAGAATTCATGCCAAGAAATATATGAGACCAGATCAAATGAAATTAAATATGAAATTTATGATTTCAGCGGTCAGTCTACTTATAGTAGTAACATTAATATTCATCAAATTATTCAGTGACAGAGCTTATAGTAGAAGAATAATTATTCAAGTTCATAGTATAAGCAGTAGTGAAGCTTGTAGTAGAAGAATAAGTAGTAGTCATATTAGTAGTAACTTATATAATCAGTTAATTCATTAAATTATCAAGATTCAAATTCTGAATAGAGCTCTGCCTAGTAATATAGAATTCATTCAGCTTTATTTTAATAAATTTCTGTAATCAATCTCTTAATTTCAGAATGAATAGATTATAATAAGTACTCTTAACTTAGTTTTTTCTCAGAGATACTAGCTTTGTCTTAACATCTTAAAAATTTGCAAGATAGATATGAAAATCACTGTTCTTAAAATGTAAATATCTTATTTTTTTAGTGATTAGAAGGCATTCTTCTACATGAGATATAGTATAGTATTAAGCAAGATTCTTTCATAGAGTAGTAGTAAGATAGAGATCTTCATTCAATGATCTCAGAGAATTATATATAGTAGCATTCAAAGATTGAAAAATTCAGATATAAAGAAGCTCATTTTTTCAATTTCAAAACTTAATATTCAGAGACACTGTAATAGAAGACACTGTTTCTTTCTTAATAAGAATATCTTTTATGTGAATAAGATAAGTACCTGTAAAAATTAAGCTCTTTCATTTGCACACCTGCTTCACTACGAACTCGCTCGATTTTTTTAATAAGAACCCGCTGATAGATTCATTAAAAAGCCCTCGATCATACAAGCATTTTAACCCCATTACCGACTGCATTCCCCGTGTGATAATGAAGTTATTTAGTCAAATGTGAATCAGACATTGTTTGAAACTTCTGTGTGAGATTATTCTTCATTCACCTCTATCACACTACAACCCCAGGTCAAATTGCTACAAATTGTAAGATGAAGAGACCTAGTTATATATGTCAATCTTCTTGATCTTGAAAGATCTCTGATCTGTAATTATGAAGATATCTGAGAAGTAATCTCTGTAAAAACTAAACTGACTGCTGAGATTATGAATTTCATATTTAATCTCATTTAATCTGATCTTATACATTTCTTAACATAAATTCTGCTGAGACTAGTCATTAAAAAAACATACAAAGTAACTATATATAAGTTCTTAAAATGAAATCATGACTTGAAAAAAATGAGAAAGTAATCTCATTTAATTTCATTTATTTCATTCTTAATATAAAGTGACTATTTTTAGACATTTTAAGGTTTTTTTTAGACTATTTTTAATTTTTTAAAAAGTAACACTTTTTGATAACACTTAAATGAGATTTAAATTCATTTAAAGCAATAAAAATAATTTAAATTAAGAAGTGAAAATCATTATTATTATTATTATTATTCTTTCATTATACTTATATACAAGCGGAGCTTATAATGAGTTCTTATGTGATGTTAAATACAGATTAAGTGTTGATTATACAGAAGAAAATACCGGTGTTGAAATCACATCAATATAATAAGAATGTAGGAAATACAAAGAAGTGACAATTAGATACATGTGATAATAATTTCTCAGCTCAGAAACATAAAGCAATTTATTGAAGTAATTTGTACACCTCTGTATTTATTAGAAATCTGAGGTGCTTGAGTTTCACATTTAATGTATTCTTGTAGACTACTGAGGCAAAAGAGCTCGATCATCATCAGCGCACTGCTGATAGAAGAGCCGATCAACCGCGGGACCCTCAACAATTCTCTGCGGGTTTCGAACTCACATGCCTTAGTTTCCCACGTCAAGGCGCTACTGAGTGGCCGTATTAACCATTCAGTCACTGAGGTAAGTGAAAATCATGATCTCATTTGAAAAATGTTATAAGAGTAAACAGTAAGTCTCACTGAGATAATATGAAACTACTATCTAATGTTAAAACCATGTAATGAAATCAGTTGAATTGATAATGAAACTATTAAAAAATCTAGTTCTGATCTCAGACACAGTTACACAGTCAGTCTAGTAAAAACTCTGTTCATCTTTGATATTCTAAAATATTAATACTAAGTCTTACTCTTATATTATTCTTCTCAATCTGACTGATCTCTGACAGAAAAATAAAAAAAAGATATCTCAGTAACAGTATTTAATACATAATAAGTAGACAATAAGTTAACAGTATGTTAATAACTATAAAATCAGTATATCTCAAGATCTGACTAAGTCTTTAATCTCTGTATAGTGAGATATATTAAATCTAGTTTTAATATCTCAATATTTAATAGATTCTGCAAGAGATGAAGAACAGTAATAATAGATTTCTACTAAATTTGAGAATTAACTTTATATTGATATAATTATTGACAAAGTCTTTTATTTTGAGATATAAATAACTAGTTTCTCTACATTCTGCTGATAATATTTATATTATTATATAGAAACAGAGTTATATTCTCTATAATATTGAGACTCTGAAGAGAGAAAGTCTTGATAGAGAGTATATAGTAGTATATATCTTAACAGTTTCTATCTTATTCTTCTGCAGCAGTTAATACAAAAAAAAAGATCTTAGAAATAGTTTTTTACTTCTCTTGAAATAGTAAGATGTTTTTCTCTGAGTTTTATATAATATTATTACAAAGAATAAAAATAGTGTTGTTTTCTGTTATAATTTCACATTCTTTTAAGTAAGAATTACTTTTTCAGTGACTAAAGAGCTTTTATTAATACTTAATTCTTTTTTACACTCTTTATTAACTGATTTGAGTTGTATACTTGTTGTGTAAGAAGAATTGAATAATTTAGAATAAAATTGAATAGTTTTAATCAATTTCTCTATAAAAAATTGATTTATTTTTTATCAGTTTTTTTCTCAAATACTGTTATATTATCTGATTTATTATTAATTGATATCATACTGTTTCTCACTATATCTCAAGAAAGAGATTGTAAAGATTTTATTAATTTATCTTAAAAATTAATTTTAGTTTATTAGATTCTCTTCAAAAATCTAATCTAGTTACTGAACTAGTGTGAAAAAATCAGATATTTTATATACAAAAGTTTTTATTCTTCTTTTGAAGCAGTCTGATCAACTTTTCAATTAAAAACAGACTTAGAAATCTCTTAATTGAAACAGTCTGATCAACTTTTCAAAAGAGTTCAATAAATATCTCAATTAAAACAGTCTGATTAACTTTTCATTGAGTGTAAATAATGAGTTCAAAAATATGCTCAGTTGATATGAAAAAGAATGCTTTCTCAAATACTATTTCTGAGATTGAAATTCTGAAGAGAAGAAAAAAAGAAGAAATAGAGAAAAAATAAGTTCTTAAAATACAGAAACTTGAAAAAGTAAGCAAGATTCTTGAAAAGCAGTGTCTGAGTGAGATAAATGAAGAAGTTCTATTAATTCTTCATACTCAGACTAGACAACTACACAAGATGATTTAGTTCAAACTTAGAATTTCAAACACAGTTTAAAAAAAAT